AGAGAGAGAGAGAGAGAGAGAGAGAGAGAGAGAGAGAGAGAATGAGTTTGCATTTGCACTGAAGGCACTAAGCTATATTATAGAGAAGCACAGTTACCCAGCATGGTATCCTCAGGATCCAGTTCAAAGGAGATGGGACTCAGTGGCAGGTTGATGGCATTCATTCCTTCCTCCTGGAGCTCCGATACTGAAAGACAAGGAGGAGCAGGGTCACGTGTCAGATGCTGATGGGTCACATGTCAGACACTGATGACAGGTGGAGTGCTGGATTTTTACAACACATGAGTTCCATATTGATACTGAGGCAACTGTATCCTCCCCCCCGGCCCCCTAGGTACAAAGCTTAGATGACAGTTGCTAGTCAGCCTGAGATCAATCCACAGTCACTCCTTGCTAAGGGGACCTAATTGCTCCTTTAATCTCACTTTTTCCACTTGTCACCCCTCTCACTTTCCTAGAAGACAGGCTGCTATGTAGAAAGCTCTCTCCTTTCAGAAAAGATTCCTGAATAAACAGGAGCAGAGTGGGCATGGCTGCTCCCCAGGTCTCTACCCTTAGTCTCCTATATGTCCTTCCTTCCAGGGCTTACTGTCCCTGTCTCCTCACTGTGAACAGGATGAAGGAGATTCTCCATTTCAGGATGTTACCTCATGAGTCTTTTCAACATGGACAGTTCAACGCTTCTTTGACTTCCCTGAGATCTTTTGATGATGGGCCCTGCCTCCTGCACCCATCCTGGTTCCAGCCTCTTCCCTGGGTCCCTGGGTGACTCAGTTCGCATGACCTGTGGGGCCCAGGGTGAGACACTTCCCCTCTCTGGTCCACTGAGTGACTACTCATTTCTTTCTTTCCTTTTTCTTTTTTCTGCTGGGTGCAGTGGCACATTCCTTTAATTTCAGCACTTGGGGAGGCAGAGGCAGGTGGAGCTCTATGAGATCAAGGCCAGCCTGGTCTACATAGTGAGTTCCAGGCCAAATGGGGCTACAGAGAGGCCCTGTTTCAAAAATTGTTTTATTATATTTTGTGTGTATGCTGTCATGCAAGTACATGGATGTGCACATGTGTGGTATGCTAGTGCCACATCACACATGTGGAGTTGGTTTTCTCCTTTTACCATATGGGATCCTGGGATTAGAGTCAGATTATCAGGCTTGGTGGCAACTATCTCTACCCACTGAGCCATCTCACTAACCTGACTAAGTTCTTTTCACTTTTCAAATACTAGTAATCTACAGTCTCATTTTCTATAAGAAACAGTGGAATAGGTCAGTGACTTTTAGAACCCACCTCTCCAGCCTGCTCTCCTCCAAGCACCCAACCCTCACATGAACACTGGGGAAAAACATTCCTACCCCAAGCCAGCTATCCAGGAGCACCCGTGCTGACCTTAGTTTAGCTCTCCTAAAAGCAGGGACTCACATCCTCTCCTTTTTTGCAAATTAAGCACAGAAGGGCCATTTTCTCTGAAGGCATTGGTCACCGGGAGGTTTGAGGGCACTAATACATACAGCAGCTGCAATCAACCTTAACGGAAGCAAGGGCCCATCCCTCCATTTTATTTATTTATTTTGTATTGACTCTGGCCTCCCTGATTGCCAGCCTAGACTTGGGAGAAGTCTTCAGCACAAAGTAGCTGCTTACATAGTTGCAGCTAGAATTGGTTCCGGAACGAGTTGGCCTCACAAAGACGGTGAGTCAGGAACTACTTTAAAGGGACACTGGCATTAGGAAGCTGACATGCAATCCCTGGGCAGTGGCCGGGTGTATGTGTGTGTGTGTGTGTGTGTGTGTGTGTGTGTGTGTACCCCACATGCAGAGGCCACTGGGTGCCCTTATTATCTTGACACAGCCTCTCTCAGAACCTGAAGCTCACTGACTTGATTAGACTGGCTGGTCAGCAAGCTCCTCCCCAATTCCAATGCTGGGGTTATAGGCAGGCCCAGCCACGCCTGACTTTTAAGTAGGAGCTAAGGATTTGAACTCAGGTCCTCATGCTTGCAGAACAAGTGCTCTTACCCACTGAGCCATCTCCACAACCTTGTGAGCCACGGGCTTTTGATGTTTCTAAGGGCATCATCCAGTTCTTGTTTTTAGCTTCAAAATCCCTTAAAGTGCCATTCTGTAGAATTTCCCATAAGACAGCAGAAAAATACAGGAGATTCCTTCAAAGTGTCAGTGATCATGGAGGTAAAGGACTGGGTTTATTTCTGGCTAAGTGCATGTACTTCCTAGGACTTTCCTAATTCTTCCAATATCACCTCTAGATCTAGCAGTATGCTCTCTTTCAGCAACTTCTTAGGAGGAAGCACAACATTTATTACTCAGCAAACCTGCTGGGCACACAACAGGTGGAAATAGTCACACTTTGACAGGACAGGAGACTGAGCTTCCCAGCCACTGCTGGGGGCTTTCTGTCCTCTGGCAGTGCTCTCTCCCTAGGTCTGTGCTGTAGGGCCAAGCTGGCAACTTGTCAATGAATTAAGTGCTCACTTCCTTAGCTGCACAAAGCACCTTTTAAGTGCTCAAAGGTAGCTGGTGGGTACAGTCCCTACCAAACTGATATACATTCCCGCACAGGAAGTCCCAAACTGGATGGTGTGATCTTGGGGTCCTGTTCATCTAAATGCTGAGGGTGTTCCCAGTCAACTGATGAACCTCACTGCTTACACTATGGCCCTTAAGTCTACTGAGGTCTCCAATGTAGATACCCAAAACAGAACCTGTGATCTAACACCCTCACACCCACCACAACAGCACAGAAACAAACCATCGGCTCTGATCCTTACCCTCTTCAGTGGGAGGTACCACTGTTTACACCAGGACTGACCAACCTGCCGCTCTGGGATTGGTGTGACCCAGGGTCGCTACAAGTGTGGTCAACATGAAATGGTAAACTTCCTTAAAATATGATCAGATATGTGTGACTGTCTGTAGGTCTATGTGTACATATGTGTATGTGTTGGTATGTAGGCATTTGTGTATATGCATGTGTATGTATGTCTCTATATGTGTGTCTGTATGTCTGTGTCTCTCTGTGTGTGTTTGTATGTGTGTATGTTGTGTCTCTGTATGTATGTGTGTTTGTATGTGTGAATGTGTATGTGTATATGCAAGTGTATGTTGTGTCTCTGTGTGTATGTGTTTATGTGTGTATGTTTATGTGTATGTATTTGTCTATGTGAATGTGTCTGTGTATATGCATGCAAGTGTGTGTATGTGTGTGCATGTTGGCAACTTGACTGCAAGGTTCTTCAGCCTGAACATAGATGACAAAAGCATGCTAAGTGTCACACAAAGCAGTCTACATACACTCTCATGGCACTCTGGGTTTATACAATGGTTCAAGCCAAGCTCTGAGGACCCACCTCTGGCTCAGCTCCTCTTTTCTCTCACCTTTTGTATCAGTTGTACTGGTAAGTTCTCTAGGCACCAGTCCCAAGCCAGGCCTGGAGGTTCAAGCCACTACTGTCCTTCACCTGGTCCATGGGAGCTGCCTCCCAACTGGCCCAACACCTTCTGCATTTCCCTCACTCCCACCTACTTGCCACTGTGCAGCTAGCATGCTCCATGAAATGCAAAGGAGCCCGCCTAAGCCTTCCTCCAGTCTCTCATCAGGACCTGGCTCCTGACTGACTTAGAGACCTCTGCTCAGCCTCCACTGCTGTTTGATCCCCACATGGAACTCATCGCCACAGGAAATAATCGCTGTGGGTAAGTGTTTTTCTACCCCTCCACCATCCGAATGCAAGCTGGGGGAAGACTGTATTTGATACTTGTTTTGTTTGAGACAGGGCCTCTTGTAGACCAGGCCTCTATTGTACTTTGTAGGCAAGAATGACCTTGAACTTCTCTAGCCTGGGGTTACAAATGTGTGCTACCACCCCGTTTAGGCTATGCTGGGGGCTCAACACAGGCTTCCTGCGCGTTAGGCAACCACTTGGCCAACAGAGCCATGTGCCCAGCTGGGGGACACTCTGTTTAGACTCTATCAGACTCTCAAGGAGGCCAAGGGGCATAGTGCTTGGTTGCCAGACTGCCTAGATTCACACCCAGGACCTGTACTTTCTAGCTATTGGACAAGTTCATCAATTTCCTGTCCCATGCCTCAATTTCCTCATCTGCAAATTGGGTGTGTTGGGAAGATAAAACCAGTTAATGTAAGTATTCCAAAGGCTGCCTGGTCCCTGGAGAGAGCCATGTAAATACATGCTGTTATTCTCACTTAAGCTGATACCTCGAGAACACTATACACTTGGTTGGCTACGTAATCCAAACCATTAAGGTCACTCTTCACTGGAAAGGATTTCATTTCTGGGGATGTGGGGCTGGGAATCACTTACATCTATTTTAGTCTGAATTTTAGCTTGACCCTGTATGTACATTTCTGAATAAGCATTTGCAGTTTGTGGGGTTTTTCTGTTTTGTTCCTTTGAGACAGGGTCTTGCCACATAGCGGCTGCCCTCAGATTCACTATGCAGCCTAGGCTGGCCTCAAACTTGTGGCAAATCCTCTGCATCAGGCTCCAGAGTGTTAGGATTACAGGCATGAACCATCATGCCTGATGGTCCAGTCTGGATTTTGTTAAGGTAAGAAAAGCCACTTCTGTCCCAAGTAGAGCCAGATAGCCATATAGCTGGAGGCAATTTGTAAACACAGAGGTCTGTAAACATCACTATAGTCTAAGTAGGAAAGCAACACTCCCAGCCAGGGCTCCTAAAGGTAGCTCTGAATGGGGTCTCTAGATCATTGTTCCCAATGTTTTCAGATGAACCCCGCCCTCTGCCCTGCCTCTTTAATTCACTTAGAGAGACCCAACAAACCCCAAAAGAAAGACTGAGATATGTTTGCAATTCGAAATGTTTTTTTGGAGGAAACGATTCGGCAGGAACCCCATTAACCACTGACTCAAAGCCAACTGTTTGTAAAAGCCAATATGCAAAATGCCCAGGCTGGCCTGGCCCCCGCCCCACGAGGCCCCATTAGTGGCCACTTTCCCAAAACAGCCCTCCTGCTTAGGAGGCCTCCTTTCTGTTCAACCCGAGTAGGGCCCAGCAGCAGCAGCCTGCCAAGCCCTGCTCTGGCAAAGACAAAGAGCTACGATTGAATTTTCTCAGCACAGAATCTGAAGATGTTGTTTACCCCAGAACGGTCTCAAACTCAGCCTGGGTGTGCAGCCTCCAGCGGCT